TATCTCTAACTGGTTGATCAGACAAGGCAGCGAGTTTTCAGGGTCTGATAAATAACAAATAACATCGTCTGCAAACAAACCTATTATATGGGACTCATTATGAATATCTATATCTTTAAGATCCTTATGTTGTCTTATGTGTTGTGCCAGTGGCTCAATAAAAATTGCAAATAAAGTTGGTGACAAACAGCAGCCCTGACGGGTAGAGCGCTCTAGTTTTATATTGTCAGTTAGATTTCCATTAATCTTGATTCTGGCCACAGGTGACTGATACAAAGTCCTCACACACTGTACAGCTTTTTCATTAAAGCCAAATTTTCCAAGTGCTTTATATAAGAAGTTCCAGCCTACGCTGTCAAAAGCTTTCTCCGCATCGAGACTGATTAAGATAGCTGATGATTTTTTATTTTGAATATGGTCTATTATGTGAAGTGCCCTTCTGATGTTATCTCGCGTTTGACGACCCTTAATAAATCCTGTCTGGTCCTCATCTATGATATCTCCAATGAATTGCTCAAATTGTTTCGCTAAAATCGAGGTATAGATTTTATAGTCCATGTTTAGGATGGATATAGGTCTATAATCAGAGCATGTTTCACTCTTCCTTTTTTTCGGAATGACTGTTATGATTGCTTCTCTCCAAGATGGCGGGAGCACTGCATGTTCCAGTGTATAATTAAATGATTTTTCTAGTAGTGGTAGGAGATCTTCGCTGAAGGATTTGTACCACTCAGATGGCAGTCCATCACTTCCTGGTGTTTTACCATTTTTTAACCTATTAATTGCCTTTTGTATTTCTATCCTAGTTATATAGGAAGTGAGAAGTTTGTTTTGGGTTTCACCAATTGAGGGCAGATCCAGTGACTCCAAGAAGGTTTCTATCTGTCCATCATTAGCAGAGGGAGGCTGACTATATAATTTCTGGTAGTATTTCATAAACCTGTCCTCAATAGTTGCTGGGTCATGTATCATTTGATTTGTTTCATCATCCTTTAATTTATAGATATGTCTATCTGACTGTTGCTTTTTCAATTTCTTTGCCAACAGTTTTGTTCCTTTAGGTCCCACCTCATGATATGATTGTTTAATAAACTTTGATTTCTTTTCAATTTCATATGTAAGCATTTTATCAATGTTGTTTCTTAGTTCTTTTATTTTTATTAACAGGTTGGGATTTTGGGTTAATTTGTGTTGTCTTTCCAGATCTGTTAGTTGAGCTCTTTCTTTTTCATAGGCATCCACTCTAGATTTCTTAAAGGCCGCTGTTTTTGAGATCAATTTTCCTCTTAATACTGCCTTAAGTGCGTCCCATAATATCACCGGATTAACCTGTCCATCGTCATTCTCATCTATGTAAGTTTTTATATCGTGAGAAATTCCGGCTTTGATTGTTTTGGAGTTCAACAAGCCTACATTTAATCGCCATGCTGTTTTGCGTTTTTCAGAAGATAAATTTAGTTTTATTATTAGCGAAGAATGATCAGATATACTTGTTTCTTCTATTTTACATTCCTTTATCTTATATATATCAGATTTATTCATGAAAAAGTAATCAATTCTAGAATAACTTTTATTAGGCGCTGAGTAATGGGTATAGTCCTTTACATTGGTGTTTAGTTCCCTCCAGACATCAACAAATCCAAATTCCTCAAGTGTCAATTTAAATTTTTTTGTAGTTGAATTTTGTTGTTTTTTACCATTTGTTGTATCAAGTTTTGTGTTTAATACCATGTTGAAATCCCCTCCCCAAACCAACATTCCCTCTGTTTCCATAATTATTTTGTTGAGGAGGCTATTAAGGAATTGTTTATTACTATTTGGAGGATTGTAAACGTTGACCAGTGTTACCATTACATTGTCTAGAGTCCCCTTCACCATCACATACCTCCCCTCTTTATCTGACAGATCATAGCTACAATCAAATTTTATTGAATCATGAATTAGAATTGAAACTCCTCTTTTGTTTCCATGTCTGAAAGAGCTGTAAAAAACCTTTGAGTAGCCAAAGCCCCTGAGTTTTTTATGTTCCGATTTAGACAGATGCGTCTCCTGTAAATAGATTACCTGTGCTTTCTCTTTTCGCATTTTAGTTAGAATTTTTTTACGTTTTATAGGGTTATTCATACCATTCACATTCAACGAAACTATCTTGATAATATCAGTCATTATTTAGTTTTGTAAGGTCACCGTGTGATTCTAGAAAAAGATCCCCCAACAAATAGCTGAACAGGCTATTAAAACACAGATGAACAGATAGAACAGAAACTTCCAAAGGTGGAGATGTATGAAAACATCCCTCAGTGTCCCTGCTGGTGGGGTGGGGGCAAAGTACCACACTAGGGTGGGGGCCCCCTCTAGTAGTAGACGGAGATCTACCTGTACTAGGTAAGTCCAACATTTGGTAAGCGCTACAACATTCACTCCTTTCGGCACTTTGTTTAAATATCTATCAAAAGACCTATGAGCAATAACTTCAGTAACAGAGGGGAGAATATCCAAAACAGGACTAAAACCAGCTGGTAAAGACATTCAGCTCTTAAATCGCCCGTATGTTATTTTAATTTTTTTTTTTTTTTTTTTTTTTTATAGTAGAGCAAACCTGTTATGATTCAATGTTCAGAGTTACTGGTCCTCACGTCTGAACTCTGTGAGCCTCTCCCTCGCGCGTTGTCCTGCACCGGTGTTGTTGATCCGTTTCCATGGTAACAGTGAGTCGAGCCTCTCCTTGGTCACTTTCAACTTGTTCTCTCTTGGTACCCAGGTCAAGTCGAAGCCTCTCTTGATCATATCCGACGCTGCTTCATCTGCGTTCTGGTAGGTCCGCACTCCAGAGTCCCAGAAGATTCTCATCTTTGTGAACGGCGTCTGGAATCTGACGCCCTTCTGCTTCAAGACTGCCTTTAATGGGCCATATGCTTTACGTTTTTCTATAACGTCCGAAGCATAATCGTTATCAAAGTAAAGGCGCTTGCCCTCCATCTCCACTTTCTGTTCCCAGGCTTTTCTCAGAATCATTTCTTTTGTGTTGGATTGCAAGAAATTCACAATTATAGACCTCGGGGCCGCATTGGGAGGCGGTCTGGGTGCCAGAGCTTGGTGTGCCCGCTGAATCTGTGGTTCAGTTCCTTCCGGAAGCTTCAGCTGTTTGATCAGCAGATTGGCGACAAACTCGGAAACCGATCTACCTTCTTTACCTTCCGGAACTCCATAGATGCGAAGATTATTTCTCCGGCTTCGGCTCTCCAAATCCACAAGTTTGTCGTTCATAGCTCTGTTGCTTTCTAATGACACAAGCAGCGCATCTTTCATTTCCAAGCACGCCGCCTCCAGATCAGCTATTCGGGTCTGCGCCTCGTTGATACTGCCCTTCTGGTTCTGCAGTTCGCGCATCATTTCCTCCCTGAATCTGTTGAAATCTTCTTTCATTGTTGCCTTTACATCTTCTTTGAGTTCTTCTATGTCTTGCTTCATCTCGTTTTTAAACTCTTTTAAGTCTTTAGAAAGCATCTTGATACTCTCCAGCAACGCGTGCTGTTGTAAGCCAACGCTAGCTTTGCTAGTAGCAGCGTTAGCCTCATCCTCACTACCATCTCCCGACTGCTCACCAAAATCTTGTGTTTTAGACGTCTTCTTTTCGGTCTTGTTAATTTTCGGCATCTTCCCCCTTTAAATGGTTTAGACTGAAGTTTTGATAGTTATCTGAAATAAGCAAGGGGGGAGATTTAAATACCGAAACGGAGGAGCCTGTTCCTACGTGGCCATCTTGTTGCAGCGCTGACCCGGAAGTCCCCAATGTCGGTGGTTTTAAAGTAATTTTGAGTGATAAATACTTTTTTTTGCGATAACTGCACTTGCCCGGCGGGCAAATGCAATGAAATTTGTACTCTCCTGACAATAAAAAGTACTTGACTATATATATTGTATAGAGGGGTTTGAGTCAGAAAAATAAAAGAAGATGTGAAAACTGGATAAAAGTATGTTTGAGCCAAGTGACCATTAATAAAGGATTGCATATCATTCCACAGAGAAGAGCTATGTGAACAGCTATAAAAATAAATGGTCTAATGTTTCTATTTCCAAAGAGCAAAAGGAGCATTTTTCATCTACAGCTGCTTCGCTTCTTCTTCTTGTTGTTTACTACTGGTGGTTGGCTTTGGTTGCAGTACCGCCACCTTCTGCTCTGGTGTGTAAACGCTTCGCCTATAAGAAAATGGCGCAGCGCATGAACCGAACGCAACACACGCAAACCGAACCGAGACAGTCGAACCGAACGGTTCGGACGGTTTTCATAAACCGTTCCATCCCTAATATATATATATATATATATATATATATATATATATATATATATATATATATATATTTATAATATTTTTGTCTGGTTTATTGTCTGGTTTATTCTTCCTTTGTATGTTTTTACTTTCTACCTACATTTATATATATATATATATATATATATATATATATATATATATATATATATATATTTTTTTTTTTTTTTTTTTTTTTACATATATATATATATATATATATATATATATATATATATATATATATATATATATATATATATATATATATATATATATAATTATACATTTTGTTTTTGTGGAACAACTAATTGTATGCTTATTTATTTTTCGACCATTTAATTATTTCTGTATTTATTTTTAATTATGGTAGGATTTGTCTTCCACAGCCGACGATAGCGGTAATTAAAAAGGCAAAGGCTTTAACAAAAATAGTAGCGTTTCTAAATAACAGAGTGAGTGAGCGTTCGGAAAAAAAATTGTTCCACAATAATGTATAAAGTAATACTTTATGTTATATTACATATAATTGAGTTAGTTGCCTCCAGTTGAGAAGTTGAACTGTTTTGGTGGCAGTATATGCTGGGTTTCATTCCCAATGTGAGGAAATAAATATTTTATTTTATTTTTTTATTTTTTTTATTTATTTTTTTTTCAGATACATGTGCAAGATGGTTCTGTGAACAGTACCTTGGCTTGAAGGAAGTTTTCCTGGAGGAAGTTCGGAGGGTATCTAATTGGAAACGTCCTTTATGTTGCTGAAACCAAAGTTCCATTTGGAGAAACATTGTAAATGTTCTCAATGCTTTAATGATGGGGTTCAGTGCGGTGGCGCAGTTTCTGATAAGTCTACGCTTTTATTTTGGCACCTGAAGAACATTCAGTGATTCACACACACTTTAAAGCATCCTTTTCACCTAAATCTGCGTGCATTAGTAGAAACTCTGCTACATATCACAGTCTTTTGTTTCGGCAAACTGTAGCTTTGTTATTAAAGAGAAAGGAAAGTTCAGTACCTTTGTTGGAGCCATCTGTCCTTTCTTGGAGCCAAGTCCTCTGTAAACAGTGTCGCGCTTTTATGAAGAAGCTTTTAAAAAAATCCCTCTTTAACCTTTAAAAATGCTAGAAATGTCTCAGACTACATGTGATTACAGCGTATTTTTTAACAAAACACACGAGTCAGCTTTCGACTCTGCTTTCCCCTGTTGTTATAAACCAAGACCGGGAGATGCGTTTGAAGGACTCAAGAATGTGATAATGGAGATAGAGAGGCCTAAAAATTTTAAGTAATAGTAAGAAAACTTGAACAGCGGAATAAAAAAATGTTGAAAGGCCAAATTGTGTTGTATGATTACTGGGTGGCAACGTCAGCAGGATAGTTTGAACTGTATAACGTGAAAGCAATGATTTTTTCCGGCAATCCTTAAATGCGTCACACGGTTCCAAACAACGTGAAACGTGTTGATAATTTCTGAAACATTCTCTGCCTAAATTTAACAAAACTAAAATAGAGAATTTCAGTGGGATTATTTATAATCTCAAATATGTTTTTTGTTTGTTGGTTTGTTTTTCTACAAATTAATCTAAGAGTGTTTTTGGTAGTTCATGTATTAACGTTAAAGTTCAGGCCTTTTTATAGAACCTCAAGCAGATTTATGTCTGGACATTGACTGTTGCCTTTATGATTAGTGGTTTGTTTTGATCTAACTGTGACTGTATGCTTAGACTGCTTTACTGGTGAAATCCAGGCCTCTCACCCAGTTCTCAGTAAAGCTGTCCCCTCTATTATCTCTGATCAGTACTCCTGTCCCTACTTAGGAAATGCATGTCCTCAGAATAATGCTGCCACCACCATGTTGCACAGTTGGGGTACTTGTGCAGGGTAAAACTTCTGTGTTAGTTTAACACTATAATGTTTATACTCAGGGCCAAAAATTTCAGTTTAACTGTCACCTAACCAAAACACTCTTTTCAATATATGGATTGTGGGAACCTAAAATTGGTTTCAACAATTGATTTCTTCTTGCGATGCTCCAGAACAAAGACCAGATTGGTGGAGTATAACTTTTAGTTTTTCTAGATGAGATTCTCTCATTTGAGCTATAGATCTCTGCAATCTGCATGCAGCTTTTGCCCATTCCTATTCACAAAATGGCTCCTTTGCACTGAATGCAAAGTATCTGAAAAAAAAAATAAATGTCCACAGAATTTCCTTTTGGAATATATCAAATTTGCACAGTTGGCAAGACTTTTATCAAGCAGTAAGATTGCATTGAGTTTAAAGTCTAGCCTTGGGTCTTATGCATTAAAAATGAATGCACTCCATGTGCCAATTATAAATTAGATTCATAGATTATCTCTAAGTACTCTGGCTTCCCACAACTGTCCAAAAAGATGATGTTAAGGCAAGAGGTTACCCACCTCTTGCTCAATCACCTGCCAGACATAGGCACCAGCTCCCTATCGTGACCCTGCAAGGATAAGAGTTTTTATGGATGGATGCATTTCATTCATGGATATTATTGTAAATGGCATGGAATACAAACAAACACTGTATTTCACAATTATGACCAACTTTAAGTCTATCACATGAATCCCAAAAATGACATTCAAATGTGTTATCCTAAAATCGCAAAATGGCAAAAAAAAAAGTAGAAAACATATGACCAAGCACCATATAGTTGGTATTATTGTTAGGAACTACTTTCTTTTAGCTTGAGGTTCAGATTCATCATGAATGGTGGGCTTATTTTATAAATCAGCATATCTGCATAAACAACTGTAAGTTAGTAATCAATTGGGGGATTTAAAAAAATAAGGGTTTTAGATTAGTTTGGGAATGGTATGAAACAGGGATGATAATAGGTTATGTTGATGCAATATAAGCCCATTTAAAAAAAAAAAAGTTGACAGTTCTGTTCTGTTCTGTCGTGCTTTGGGTGGTCTGAGACTTCCTGCTCATTAAGTATCAAAAGTAACCAGCTCTTTCCTGTCTCTCTGCCACATTTAGGAAGCTGTAGTTTTTATGCACAGCTGGACGGACACCAAGAAGACATTTGTAGAAATGTTCAAATGTAGCATTACTTTCGCAAATAGTAAAAGTCTCTGCCAGATACAGTATGGTGTTGCAGTCTGTTTCTTTCCATCCTTTATAAGGACTTCAAAAACAGAGAGGCTTCAAACATGTTATGCAGTACAGCTTTGGATATTTGTAGTGCATTTGCCCAACACAGTTCCAGAAATGTGTTGACCACAGTTCTTAGGGGGAGGGCAGGGAAACGATTTTGAGGAAATTAGTGTAAAGAACTCCTCCTCTGCCCAACTCTGCATTCCTCCTCCGCACCCTTTTTTTCTTTTTAAGTTAATGGTCCCCAATGTTTCCACAGACGGAAGAAGAAAGGAAAGCAAAGGAACAGCAACTGCAAACACTAGTAGATAGAGGTGTTTATATCCTGCTGCTCTGAAGTTAACGGGTGAGTTTTTTTCTTCACAATTGTCTGGTGTGTGTAAACCACACAAAAAAAGATTCCTGCATTTGTTTTGTTTTTTTATGAGGGTGTTTACCAGAGAGTTTTCAGAAAGACTTTAAAGTCTTAAAGTATACTCAAAAGGCGTGTTTCACACAAGTAGAAATTTTGTTTGTTAATATGATCATATGACATAATAAAGGTTCATCTGTATATCGTCAGGGAAAGTGATGTAACCACATTCCTCTCCAACCATTTGACAATAACACAGCAAGGGGAAGGAAACCAGTCTCTTTCTTCCAGGTTTAACTACAAAAAAATTAGGTTACATTGATTTATTGCTTTAAAGAGTATATCAGTTGTGGATTATCAACCAGTCTATTTATAATGTAAAGACATGTAAATTACATAGTGAAAGTGAACCAATGGTATATATAAATTCAATGTTAGACTGGAATTGAATGAACACAAGTGCAGGACGCTAAAGTTTCATGTCCGAACTTCAAGGATTTTAATAGTGTATTTGTTTTGGGATTTATTGAAAGATCAATGCAAGGTTGAAAAAAAAGCCTATAAGTCAGATAAGCAGGCTACACTCTCAGACATGGTGCATTTATTTCAGATAAATAAAGTGAAGCAAAATGTGCAGAATGCAAAGACAAGGGTGGACCAGTGTTAACATCAGACAAACCGATCTATGGAGAACCATCTGATAGTGATGAGAGTTCACTGAATATAGGGATGGAAAATCATCCAGAACCCGCTCAAGGATACAAGTCCATTTAAGCTGCTCACTTACCTCTCTCTAAATATGATGTTTTAGTTGTATCAAAATAATTTGACACTTTTAGGCAAAGCCTGCTCTCTCCCTATGACTGCTCATCTGCAGAGCAGAGAGTTTGCTTGATACTTTGTTATTTATTTCACTGCATTTTGTCTTCTCGACATACAAATAAACTGACTATTTATATTAGTTATTTTATTGTTTTTAGGGTTTTTTTGCATTCATTTCATTTCTTTATATTGCTGTTACAGTTTTGGGGGGGCCAAGGTAGATAGACCAGATGACATTTTTATTGTAAATACATTGCATTCTATTTTATTTTACTAGCGTTAACACAAAATTATATATACAGTGACTGGCCACTTAGGTACACCTTGCTGGCACTTGTTTGACCCCCTTTTGCCTTTATGGCGTAGATTTAACAAGGTTCTGAAAACATTCCTCAGAGAGTTTGGTCCATATTGACAAGATGGAACCAAGCAAATGCAGCAGATTAGCTGGCTGCACATCCACATCTACTGAATTGAGATCTGGTGACATTGTAGGCCATTTGAGTACAGTGAACTCATTGTCATGTTCAAGAAAGCAGTCTGAGATGATTCACGCTTTTTGGCATGGCACATTATCCTGCTGGAAGTAGCCATCTGAAGATGGGTACAATGTGATCATAAAGGGATGAACACGGTCAGCAACAATACTCAGGTCGTCTGTGGCGTTGGCACAATGCTCAGTTGGTAGTAAGAGGCCAAAGTCTGCCAAAAAAAATCCCCCACACCATTACACCACTACCACCAGCCTGAACCATTGAAACAAGGCAGGATGTATCCAATGGTTTTGATGTTGTTGATGGAAAATTCTGACGCTACCATCGAGAAATCGACGCTCATCACACCAAGCAACATTTTTCTGATCTTCAATTCCATTTTTTTTTCTGGTGAACCTGTGGGAATTGCAGCCTCAGTGGCCTGTTCTTATCTGACAGGAGTGGCACCCGGTGTGTTCTGATACTGTAGCCCATCTGCCTAGAGGTTAGCTGTGTTGTATTCAGATATGTTTTCCTGCATACCTTAGTTGTAACAACTGGTTATCTGAGTTACTTCTGCTTTTTTATCATCTCAAGGCTTCTGCAGTTCTCTGGATATTTCCTCTTTTTTGGACTAACAGCTCTTGTATAGGAAAAGTATATAAACATTCAGGAATCGAGAATAATGTATCAGAATTATATCAGAAGACTCAAAATATGGATCTATGCATCTCTAGTAAATATATCTCTGATACCATCATAGAGTGAACACAGCATACAGTGACTCCGCCTGCATTTCTTTATTCCCTGCTTGTAGTTTGATGAATTTGCAGAAATGAAATACATGGATAATAATAGATTTGAATGATAGAAAGTGTCAGTGCAGAAGAAATGCTGCATGACTAAAGAGGTAAGAGGATTCCCTAAGGAGCTTTTAAAAATATATAAAAAAGGTGAGATTTTAGAATGAATTTTGAGTCACTTGGAAAATATTTGTATGATTTAAAATACATTTCTTCTGTTTTAATTCCTCAGAGTTGCCTGGCTATAGGATACATACATCTTGCTGCATACAAATATGGTTTGTCTGCTGGTGTCCATCACTTTGCTGCATTTGGTCAGCTTGGCTATGCTTTTCATCGCCACTCTGGAGAAGGTTAGACTCAAAACCAGGCTGAATGTGATCTAACCTTGTTTATACACTAGAGGTCACCATCCTACTTTGATGCTGAATGCAAGGCTGTTCAATGGTCCTATTTTAACTTCTTTCCCTTCCACAGTCCTGGTGGGTATGGACAGAGTCAGAAATCACTGACCTCTGGCATAACTGCTTCTATATGAACACCACACAAACCTGGGTGTGTGCAGCCACAACTGAAAGCGGTAAATAATCAACATATTTCACACTTTTGTTAATGAACTAATTAATTAATGTAATTATTCTTTGATTATTTCATTATTTCATTTTTTTTTAAGTAGTGGTGC